TGAGTTCTAGTCCTACTTTAGGCATGAAAGCGAATTGGGTGACTTTGGGCCAATCATCAGGAGACAGTGAGTTCTAGTTCTGCCTTAGGCATGAAAGCCAATTGGGTGACTTTTGGGCCAATCACCAGGAGACGGTGAGTTCTAGTCCCACCTTAGGCATGAAAGCCAATTGATCATGTGATCCCCTTTGGTGACCTTCCGACAAGCAAAGTCAATGGGGAAGCGGGATTCACTTAGCAACCGTGTGACTAAACTTCGCAATTGCAGTGATGCACTTAGCAACTCTGGCAAGAGAGGCCGTATAATGGGGCAAATTCTCTTCACAAATGTTTCACTTAGGAACAGAAATTTGGGGGTCATAACTTGAGGGCTACCTCTTGATTTTCACTTTTTTTTCTTTGCAGTTTGGGGAGGGGTTTCTTTCAGATTTGGCTTTAGATTTCGAGAAAGTAACCTTTCTTTTAAAAACCAGACGCATCTTCAAATGGGAGATGCCCTTGACTTTATTGGGGTGGGGGGGGGGCGGAGAGGCGCCGTCCTGACCTCGCTTGCAAGCGAGGGAAAGGTGCTGGGCCCGAAGACTGCAACTCCCAGGGAGCCCAGCGGCGAAGGCAGGAAGCACGTGACGCTCCGGGGGCGGGGCCTCGGCCGCGCGTCCGAGGCAGGCTAGCGCTGACGTCCTCTTCCGTTCTGCTGGCAGCCGCAGGAGCGAAGGTGGGAGGGGGCTGCGCGGTCCAGGGGTTTATTAATGGGGAGGGGGCTGTTGGGAGGGGAGGGGGCGTTATGGGGAGGGGAGAGATTCTAATCAGGTCCTGTTTGGGGAGAGGGGCAACTTTCTGGGGGTCTCTGCTAAAGAAGACACCCCACCCCAAAGAAAGAGCCTTGAAAATTGGAAGGGGGTCAAATCGTGTGTGGGGGGGGCGCTGCATAAATTGCCCTTCCCGCGGTTCCACCTTTTCTCCTTGGTTCCCAGCCTCAGCACAGGTTGGCTAGGACTACAGTTCCCATCACCCCCAGCCAGACGCTACCATCCTTCTTTGCCGCCGCCCGCCGCCGCCTTGCACACCAGGCACCCTCTGGTTGGGTAGGACTACAGTTCCCATCATCTCCAACCAGAAGCTACCCCAAGAGCTACCCTCCTTCTCCCCCCCCCCCGCCTTGCACACCAGGCACCCTCTGGTTGGGTAGGACTACAGTTCCCATCACCTCCAACCAGAAGCTATCCCAAG